ATGTCAGGGAGTGGGGGCGATGTATAACTCTAACAGCGACACTTCAACCTTCCAGGCAGAAGTTCTGTTTAATAGGATGCCTTTTTGAAGGGACGTGATGTTTAAAAGTATTTTCTTGCATACACACAGCTCATCTTCAGTCATGTGGTTTAGCTCCTCAAGCTGTGTGGTGGCAGCTGCTGCTGAAGCAACTTTTTAAAAATCTGTACAGCCCATCAGTTCTTCAATGGCTAATTGGAAGCCCTGGTGGGCAAAAGCCCCACCTGGCTCTGCTCATTTTCTAACAACTCTTGGCAGGCACTAGGAAAGGTGCCAACAGCCCCATGTTGCCAATAGGCACCATGTAGGGGACCCCTGAGCTATCTAGTCCTCACGAAGAAGAGGAGGAGGAGGAGGAGGATGGATCTATACCCCGCCCTGCACTCGGAGTCTCAGAGCGGCTTACAAACTCCTTTCCCTTCCCCTCCCCACAACAGACACCCTGTGAGGTAGGTGAGACTGAGAGAGTTCTTTCCAGAGCTGTCACTGGGAGAACAACTCTGACAGAAGAACTACGGCTTGTCCAAGGTCATCCAGCAGCTGCATGCGGAGGAGTGGGGAATCAAACCCAGTTCTCCCAGATTAGAGTCCATGCAGGTAACCACTACACCAAACTGACCACAGAGTGGTGGGGAAACTGACATGCCCATGTCTAGAGACATGTCTAGAGACACCCGCTCATGTCTAGAGTGAGAGAGCTTCACTTGAACAACTGCATGGGGGGGGGGGGGAGCTTAGTTTTACCACTCTCCTTGCAGACATTGTACATGAGTCCCCATGCTTATACAAGATGTTTCACATTCCACCGCATCTAATTTTTCTTCTTTCAGCAGCATGCATGAGAACGGGTACATCCCACAGCAGTTATTCAATCCTCTCCCCCCCCTACTGGAATTAAACTGGATAGAATTGGATGTAAAGAAGGTCCAAGATACTCCAAAAATCAAAACTGGCAGATTGTCAAGGCATCATTACTTTAAAAAACCATTAATTCTCACTATCTCTATGTATGTGTGGGAAGTAATTATTCCAACCCCATCTCCCATAACAAATGATTGTGATAATGCAGCTTTAACAGCCAATGAGCCGTGAATTACGGCCTCTTGTTACTTCATATCATGGTGAGAAATATCCTGTGCCCCCAAGGCATTTGCTCTGCACAGTCCAAATAGCTGGCCTTTGGAAGAGGAAGGGTGCGGCACCAACTCCACAGACTTGCGATCCAGCCTTCTTACACTGCTTCATTTATTTGACTGAACTTGACCTGTACATATCCCACCCACCCCTGTATTAGATTCACGTGGGTAACTGTGTTCCCTCTAAGCTGAGTCAGTGTGAGCCAGCTCACAGTTCTTTAGCCTCCGGCTCACACATTTCTGTCTCAGTTCAGGAAGGAGGGCTCCAGAGCAAACTAATTTCTGCAGGAGCCAAATCGCTCGCACACCACTTTAAGGCCAGGAGCTCACAAAGTAGAATTTTTGCTCACAAGACTCCATGGCTTAGAGGGAACATTGAGACAACCCTTTTTGGCTCAAGTGCCCAGAACCCCACAGTCTACTTGTGAACTGGTGGAAGCCAAACGCAAGTCCCTGAAGCAACCAGAGCCGCTGAGACAAGGCACCACAACAGCAGGGACCCAGCTTGATCTCAGAGCCAAGCTACGTGTGAACGGGGACCCGTGGGCAGATCATGAACAAGTAGTCAAGCCTCAAAGAGTGGCCATGCCAGGGTGTACATGTGTGAGAGAAATACACCAGGAATGCGGCACAAGGAAAGCAGAGTTAAAACCATGTTCAAAGGCACTAAACCTCTGAATCCCAGAGCCAGGAGGAACATCTGCAGAAGGTCTTGGCCTCTGCAGCCTGTTGTTGGCCCTCCATAGTAACTGGTTGCCCACTGTATGAGACAGGGTGCTGGACTAGATGGACCACTACTCTGATCTGGCAGACCTCTTCTTGTAAGTCCTACTTGCCCTATCAAAACTGCCTCTAGCCTGCTTTTAGTTGCAGTAAAGAAAAAATGACAGGGAGCCACAGAGAGCTGCAGTGGAGTGGGAAGGAGCTGAGGCTGCCAGCTCCGAGTTGGGAAATACCTGAGTTGGGAAATACCTGGAGATACCCACATGTCCCCCAGAGAGGACTAAGACTGAGCTCCCAAAATCATTTGGCCCTTCCAGGCCCTAAAGAAGCCAGGCTAGCGGTGATGAGGGCCAGGGCCTTCTCTGTGGCAGCCCCGTACTGGTGGAATGAGCTCCTGGATGACATCAGGGCCCTGTGGGACCTGTTACAGTTCCGCAGGGCCTGTAAAATGGAGCTCTTCCACCAGACTTTCGACTAGGGTGCCACCCCTTAATATCCTGGCCCTGGCCCCGACATCAGCCGCCTGGTGGGACTCCAGACTGTGGTAGAAATGACCGTTCGGAAGCTGAGAATATACCGCCATCACTTATTAATACTTACCAGTATTTACTGACATCTATGTTTCCTGGCACTTATAAGATTTTATATGTTGCAATTTCACCTATTTAAATATTGTGTTTTAACTACTCCGTTGTTTTAAATACATGTTGTTGTTTTTCCCCTGTGAGCTGCCCTGAGCCTGCTGAGGCAGGGAGGGCGGGATTCTGGGTGGGGCGCAGAAAGGGGCCTCAGCGGGGTACAATGCCATAGAGTCCACCCTCCAAAGTAGCCATTTTCTCCCAGGGGAGCTGATTTCTGTCATCTGGAGATCAGTTGTAACCCTGAGAGACCTCCAACCATCACCTGGAGGTTGTATAGTGTAGAAATAACAGAGAAATCATGGGAAGGAAGCAGTAAATAACAAAAACAACCATGATGTTGTATTATGTGTATGTTTTCATAATGTGATGAAGAAATATATTCACTGCAGAACTGAAGCCTAAATGATTGTTCATAATAGAAGAAGAAGAAGAAGAAGAAAAAGAAGAAGAAGAAGAAGAAGTAGTAGTAGTAGTAGTAGTAGTAGTAGTAGTAGTAGTAGTAGTAGTAGTAGTAGTAGTAGAGGAGGAGGAGGAGGAGGAGGAGATTGGATTTATACCCCACCCTTCACTACCCAAAGGAGTCTCAGAGCGGCTTACAAACTCCTTTTCCCCTTCCCTCCCCTCCTCACAACAGAGGTAGGTGGGGCTGAGAGGTAGGTGGGGCTGAGAGAGCTCTGACAGAAACTGCTCTTTTTCAAGGACAGCGCTTATCAGAACTATGGCTTACCCAAGGTCATCCAGCAGGCACAAGTGGAGGAGTGGGGAATCAAACCCGGTTCTCCCAGATTAGAGTCCGCGCACTTAACCACTACACCAAACTGGCTCTTATGGTTGTTTTTGTTATTGACTACCACCTGGAGGGTAATAAGGATCAGACCTGTGGTCTGGAGACCCTTCTTCCCATAACATGCCCCCTTTTTCCCAACCATGGCTAAAAGCAGTCTTAGGAAGTCATTTTGGTTCAGGGGAACCAAGGAAGCTAAATACCCCCTCCTCCAGTACAGAGTCCCTCATTTAACAGCTAAATTACATGTCAGGAGGCCTGGAACAGCCCTTCACTAGGGTCCAGACTGCCACAGGGGCAAGGAAGTCATGGAAGGCAGGACTGCTATGCTCGGCAGCTGCGACACACAGCGCAGAGGGATGCAATTTTTTCCCCCCATGGGTCCCAAAAATCCTCAAAGTAGAACTTTTCTTTACGGTTAAGATGTGGGGGGGGACACCGTTACAGTTCTGAAATCCAGAAACTTCCCATCATAAGGTGAGAGTAGGAGAAAAGGAGACTGAAGAGAACCAGCTACTACTATCCTAATCAGTTTCTCCCAGCAGCGATTAGATTAATAAATACATTTTGACAGGTTAAAGGAGGGGGGGAATACACCAGCTGCCATAAATGGGCTGGGAAAATGTTTCAGGGTGGAAGATACTGTCTTGTTGAATGGTTTGTTGCTCCCAGTTCCCTTTATTTTATCTCACTTTGTTGCAAGGTAGAAAGTTCTTAAAAGGTCCCAGTCTGCCTTATCTGATCTGATCTGCCGGTGTAAAAATAAGCTGGTGGCATGTGAGAAAGGTGAATGTATTGGGTTAAACGTAAATAATATGTATCATTTGCCTTGGAAGCACAAAAGCTTTTCACAGTATCCCCCATGTTTTCCGGTTTAGGGAAAATTTTTCTTCAGACAAATTACAAATATGATATGACTCCAACGGTAACAAGAGAAAGAGAAGAGAAGAGAAGAGAAGAGAAGAGAAGAGAAGAGAAGAGAAGAGAAGAGAAGAGAAGAGAAGAGAAGAGAAGAGAAGAGCGCACACTTAACCACTACACCAAATTATCAGTAAAAAGAAATTTTACTGATAAAAATAGAAGGACATCTTACATGACATATTCATGTAAGTAGATTTAACTTATCGTGAACGGATTAATTTCAGAAAGGTTAACTCGTTACAGCTCCCAGCCCAGGTGATGAAGAGAAATCCCATATACGATGAAATCAAAGGGCCAAAGAGGCTCAACATCTCACCGATGAGAGGGCGGGGCCGACTGCCAAAGGTCCCCAGGTGAGAGAATTCTCTTAACCCTCTCCCTCCCAGATCCTTCTGCATGCAGAGTTACAATATCCAACAAGAGGAGGGATTCCATATTACGTACACTGCAATGTTTGTTTTAGTCCTTTGTGCTATTTGAGAGGCAATCGCAACCTTTACAAAGATCCCACGTGGAGTCTCCGATGTCTTTGAACCCCGTGGGCACCTTTGTAATTCTGACAGAGAATCTGGGGAGAGCCGCTGGGAGTCCGAACAGACAGCCCTGACCTTGACAAACCAATGGACCAAAGCAGCTTCATGTGCATCCACAGGACAGGCAAACCAGGGCTTTAAGTAAATAAAAATACTCACTCCTTCAGCATTATTACTATTATTAGACAGAACAGGTAATAGAACCTATCTTTGAGATACTTACTTGGTCTCCATAGGTTTGATACTGTGGAAATATTGGTGCATCATGTGGTAGAGGAGCCCCACAATGGTAATCCAAGCTGAGGGGAGGGGGGAAAGAAGAGGGGAGGAAAAGGAAGTTTTGTTTACATGTCAGTGTTACAGTTTTGAGAGAAAGAGAAACCACAATTTAAAACCCCACTGTAAATTGACAGTCTTCGGGCCTCTGCAGATCTTTCACACCTCCACTCTAATGGGATGTCTGATTGCTTCCCTGAAGAACCAAGAAGCCCCTGCAGTCGTTTTAGAAAACGGAAAGCAGCAGGAGAGGCAGAGAAGAACTTCTCACTGCTGTGCTAATGCAATGAAGCTAAACTGCAAAATTATTAACTCCCCGTCCATTGTGAAAGCGTGGCACCAACGGGATTGCCCGTGACACTCTACAGCTGTGGTGCAAACAGTGGTTCAGATCATTGTGGGTATTTCTTACCCGATATTTTAAAGCAATTCTTTAAAGAGTACATCTATTCTAGACAGCAAAGATATACTGGCCGTATACTTGTTCTCTTTATTTAGTTAGTTAGTTCATTTGTACCCCCGCCTTCCTCTCCAATAGGAACCCAAAGCAGCTTACATCATTCTCCTCTCCTCCATTTTATTCTCACCACGACCCTGTAAGGTAGGTGAGGCGGAGTGGGGCATGAGTGGGGACTCGAATACAGGTCTCCCAGATCCCAGTCCAACAATGTAACAGCTACAACCAGGGGTCATTTCCTGCAGGAGCGCACAGGAGCGGAGCTCCGGCAGTAAAGAGCCCAGGGGGCGGGCACATGCAACAAGCCCCACCCACTGCTCCCAGCAGCCCTCAGTTAGAGCAAGAAGCAGCCAGGTAAGTTGCAGAGCCCCCCCCCAAAAAAAAAACAGTCCAGTGGCACCTTTAAGACCAAGTTTTATTCAGGTAGAAGCTCTCCCTCCTCTGTGAGGACAGATCTGCACGTTCCCCCCCCCCAGTAGCTAGCAATCCAAAACAGTCCAGTGGCGCCTGAGCGGTGGGTGTTGCCTTCTGACACACTTCTGGTGATGTCAGGGGGTGTGGCATATGCAAATGAGTTAAGCTAATGAGTTATGCTAATGAGCTCCTGCACCTCTTTTTCTACGAAATGACCCCTGGCTACAACCACTTGGGTACTACTAAAGCAGTGGTTCCCAAAGTGGGGTGCTAACAGGCAAGAGGCAGCCGAAGAGGTGCTGGAGGTGGCCCCCTCTGACCACATTGTTCACTTACAGCTGAACAGGTTACGGCACGGCACCATGCTGGCAAACGGCACTCCAAGTTCCTGCCTCTGCATAGTACTGAAGTCTGGCGGAAACTATTAGAATTTTTAGTAATGCTACCAGAGAAACTGTCATCACTGCCTGTGTTTTTGCCTCTGTCATTTTTCAGGTTCTTCTAAAATTTCTGATCCCTAAGCACACTACGGACATTGGTTAAGAAGACAGATCAAGATGGGAAGCTGTCTTACGTCTGTCCGTAGCAGTAGAAAAGAGCAAGAGTCCAGTAGCATCTAAGAGACTAACAAAATTTGTGGCAGGGGAGGAGCTTTCGTGAGTCACTGCTCACAAATGAGAGGTGACTCACGAAAGCTCATCCCCTGTCACAGATTTTGTTAGTCTTTAAGGTGCTACCAGAGTCTTGCTCTTTTGTATTGCTTAAGATGCATTCCCAACCTGATATTTGGTAGAACGTGTTTTTAGTGTGTTCATCCAACTTCCTTCCAAGCAAAGAAATCGACTCCACGTTACAAATGTGGTAATTTAAGACTCCTGCTTAGTGACTACAAACCATACACTGGGAAACCAGTATCACTTCAACAAGCCCGTCCATTGAATTTACTGATCGGTGAAGTAGCTGCTAAATGTGGTAGCAACGATTCTTACTAAATGACTATCAGACTTTGAAAAGCTGGCACCACTGGATTAAGTTCACCAATTTTGTTGAATAAATTAAACTAAAAAGTTTTAATTGGGTTTTGAATAAATGTGCAATTAATTGTTACTGTTTTGAATTTTATTGCCACTATCTTCCTTAATGGGTCACGCAAACTGCAGTTCTGAATAATAGGGTAGGATGGGGGTACTGGAGATGAGTTTGTGGAACCAAGGGGGCGGTGACCCAGAAAAGTTTGGGAACTGCTCTACTAAAGGATCCTAGGTGTTGCAGCTGGTGAGGGTGTTGATGGTTCTCTGTTAGAGATTCCTAGCCACTGAAGTTTACAGACTAAACCAAGGCTCTCTAACATGGTGTCCGCAGGTGCCATGGCACCTGCTGACACCTTTCCTGGTGCCTGCCAAGTCTTTTTAAGAAAGTGGGCAGGGTCAGGTGGGTCTTTTGCCCAGCCTGCAAAGTGGGGCAAGGCCACTGGAGATTTGATTGGCTGTGCAGATTTTGAAAGACACCGCTTTTGCAGCAGCTGCCACCACAGCACAAGAGCTTCACTGTGTGACTAAACGTAAGCTGCTGCAGCCATTTTGTGCCTGGTTGCACCTTCTGCGGTAGCCATTTTGTGAAAACTGTTTTGTTGCTGCGTCCACCTCAATGTATCAGAATTCCAAAGGCACCTCAGAAAGGCTGGGAGCACCTAAATTATGTGTATAGTGTAGATACTGCCACATGTCATGGCGTTGTACCAAGTCCGATCATTTAGCCCAGTGATACTCAGTGGCTCAGGGGCCACACATAGTTCTTTGACGTGGATTTTCCTCAACACCGTTCTCCAAATTGGACACCTTCCCCATGTTTGAGGTAAGCCCAGTGGGGCTTGTGGTTGGCAGTTGGTTTCTACCTTGAAAGCAGCTGCAAGAGGAACAAGTATGCTCTAAGCCCCCTTGCACTGTAAGCATCATGCTAGGGATGGAAGTAAACGTGGCTCTTTTGGCTGAGGTTAACTGTGAATGTGGTTCTCCATGAGCATCACTGATGTAGCCCATCTAATTCAGCACTGTCTGCTCCAGCTGTCATCTGCTCTGCAGGGCCCCAACCAGAGAAAGCTCTTTCCCAGCCCTGATATTCAATAAGTGGAAATGGCTCGGATTAAACCTTGGGCTGTCAGGGTACAAAGCAGGCCGTCGGCCCCTAAACCATAGATTCCCCCTTCAACATCTATTAAAAGCCCGCAAACACTTTTGCGTGTTCTTACTTAGTGGTATGGTTGCCATCCTCCAGAAGGGGCCTGGAGATCCCCCAGAATTACAAGTGATTTCCAGACAACAGAGATCAGTTCGCCTGGAGAAAATGGCTGCTTTGGTGGGTGGCCTCTATGGCATTATACCCTGCTGAAGTGACCAGAAATGACAAGGGTAGCTCTAGCAATTGCCAGAATCTCTAAAGGCCTTTTCTTTTTAATTTTTCTCTAGGACACTGCCCCCGCCACAAGCCTTCCGCTGGTTGTCAGCTCCAGGCCAGGAAATCTCGGAGATTTGGGATGGAGCCTGGAGATAGAAGTCTAGGGAGCAAGTTATAATGCCATACTGTCCCCTCCCCACTCAAAGCAGCCATTTTCTCCAGAGGAACTCATCTGTGTCATCTGGAGAAAGGTTGTAATTCTGGGAGATCTTCAGAGAGGGGGCCACAGCTCAATGAAACAGCATCTCATTGGCATGCAGAAAGCCCCAGGTTTAATCCTGGTATCTCCAGCTAAAGCACCTTGGACAGCAGGTGTTACCCATTCTACATATCTAAAGAAGTGAGATGTCACTCATGAAAGCTCACAGTGAAATAAGTGCAGTTAGTCTTTACGGTGCCCCTGGAATTGTGATGTGTTTAGCAGGTATGAGAAAAGGCCGGTCTGTGTCTGAGACCCCATGGAGTTGCTGTCCATCAGCAAAGGTAGTACTGAGTTAGATGGCACAACAGTTTACTCAGGGGTCGTTTCGTAGAAAAAGAGCTAGGGGAACTCATTAGCATAACTCATTAGCATATGCCACACACCCTGACATCACCAGAACTGTGTTGTAAGGCCACACCCCCTGACATCACCAGAAGTGTGTCATAAGGCCACACACCCCGCCCCCAATGGTCCCGGCTGCCGCCGGCCTTGCAGCTCCACTGCCGAGCCCCATGAGGGGCCCGGCGGTGGACTTGCAAGGCCGGTGAGAGTGCAAGGAAGCCCCGCAAAGGCCCTCCCTGGCCCCAGGCAGGCAGGGGTGGGGAGAGGCAGGGAGGACATACCTCACCCGGGGGAACTGCGATCCCCCGCGATCCCCCCCGAAATGACCTCTGAGTTTACTTTATATGTTCCAATAACAATGCTTTAAAGAACAGCAGTCTTGGCTAACCACACTTCCCAGACCCTCACCCCTTCCTGAGTAAACAATTCTCTTAGGGTGATTCTGCATCTAGCATTTGCTCCACATTTTCTCAACAGGGAGGGGAAAGTGCAGCTCAAGTCTACATCCAGATATCTTGGGGCAACGTTCTACTGACTGCAAAGTGACCCCTGAACAGCCATAAAATGACCATAGATCTATGCAGAACGTACAATAAAATCCAATCATCAAAGGAAGCGAAAGCAGCATGGAGTGTGGAGGCTACCATTAAATCCGACGATCCAAGGAAGCGAAAGCAGTGTGCAATGCAGAGGGGAATTTCTGTTCCAATGTGGGTTTCGTAAAACAACGGAGGGGAAAGGTCAGTGCAGAATCGGCCTTACCTTTGGCTTGGAAAGCTTCACCAGGGATTGAGATATAACTCTGCCCTTGCAACGGGAAGCGATAGTGAGACACGTTCAGGAGCTGAAGAGGCTTCTTGGCCAAAGAATAATCTGTGGAATAATGCAGACATTTAATACAAACAATACGTATGATCGTATTCATTACTTAGAGGGATCCAACCCTCCCCACCAGCACCACAGCCACTTGCCCAGGATTTACTCTTTTAATATCGGCAACATATTTTTAGAAGAAAATTAAGAAAAAACAACAGACAAGCAGGGGTCATTTCCTGCAGGAGCGCACAGGAGCGGCGCTCCGGCAGTAAAGAGCCCAGGGGAAGGGCATATGCAACAAGCCCCACCCCCTGCTCCCAGCAGCCCTGAGTCAGAGCAAGAAGCAGCCAGGTAAATTGCAGAGCTCCCCCTGGCCCCCCAGTCCAAAAACAGTCCAGTGGCAACTTTAAGACTAAGTTTTATTCAGGTACAAGCTCTCCCTCCTCTGTGAGGACAGATCTGCACGTGTGTCCCCCTCCCCCAATAGCTAGCAATCCAAAACAGTCCAGTGGAGCCTGAGTGGTGGGTGTTGCCTTCTGACACACTTCTGGTGATGTCAGGGGGTGTGGCATATGCAAATAAGTTATGCTAATGAGTTATGCTAATGAGCTCCTGCACCTCTTTTTCTACGAAATGACCCCTGCAGACAAGAGACAGGTATTCTACTAAAAGTAATTCGACATCACGCACAAATAAATGGAGATGACTGCTAGGTTCAAGTCCAGCAGCACCCTAAAGCCCACCCCACCCCAGGCTCCACCCTCAGATCTTCAGGTATTTCACAACCCAGAGTTTGCAACCCTAGGACAGAACCAGATCTCTGGAGATTGTTTTAACAGCCAAGCAGTGACTGCATTGATTCACAAGATAGTGGCAAGACCATTCCCACATCAGCTACTAGGATCCTGTCTCTATCCCCAGATTCCCAAGGTCTCACAGGTTATAAACAGCCCTGGATTTATGCAGTCCATTGCTCTGCGCAAGCACTGGAACCCTGTAAAATGTGAAGAATTTTACTTCTTGAGCATTTCGGCCTTTGCCTGAACTATTAAAAAGCAAACTTTCCGCACCTCTGGCTGCCACTGCAAGCTTGAAACTGTAAAGGCTATGCCAGGTGAAACCTCATAACCCAGGGGGATGAACAGAGATTTTTCAGATCATAAGCCTGCATGCACAGGTTTGTGTTTTTAATTACTTCCGCACAGCACTTAGTCACTTAATCACGGCCTGAATAAAATATGGCAATGATGCTGAACGTGCAGGATACTGAACTGCTGACGGACAGATCCGTGCCCACCCGCCATGACTCAATTTATGCATGATGTTAATTTATGTTATGTGCAGTTTAATTAATTCTAAGAGCCTTCGGAACCTCTTAAAGTGAGTAGTGAGGTTTTTTAATGTATTTATACCCCGCTTTTCAACTACATTCGCTCTCATAACAGCTAACAATTAAAATCCATCACAATTTTTAATTAAGGTCTACTGCTGAAATGTTTGGTTATGCTTCAAGCCCCACTAGTGAAAGAAGTTTCACTGAACACTGCAACATCTGTTGGCCAGGCTAAGAAGACAGTGGAGATGGTGGCCTTAGGCAGGGGGCAGGGACTGTCCGAAATGTTAGGTCTCCCATTTTCACGCCCAGTAAGGTTGCCAGCCTCCAGTTTGGTGTAGTGGTTAAGTGCGCGGACTCTAATCTGGGAGAACCGGGTTTGATTCCCCACTCCTCCACCTGGCTGGATGACCTTGGGCAGTTGTAGTTCTGATAAGAGCTGTCCTTGAAAAAGAGCAGTTTCTGTCAAGAGCTCTCTCAGCCCCACCTACCTCATAAGGTGTCTGTTGTGGGGAGGGGAAGGGAAAGGAGTTTGTGAGCTGCTCTGAGACTCCTTTGGGTAGTGAAGGGCGGGTATAAAATCCAATCTCTTTTTCAGTTGGGGCTTGGGGACCTCCCAGAAGTACAAGTGATCACCAGACTACGAAGAACAATTCCCCTGGACATTAAAGTTGTGAGCAGGTGATTTGGCCACTGCATAAATTAGTTTGCTCTGGAGCCCTCCTTTCTGAGCTAAGAGGAAAATGTGTGAGCCGGAGGCTAAAAAACTGTGAGCTGGCTCACACTAACTCAGCTTAGAGGGAACAAAACAAAGCATCCATTTTCTCCAGGGGAACTGATCTCTGTAGTCTGGAGATGAGCTGTAATTCCAGGGGAATCCCCAGGTCCCTCCTGGAGGCTGGCATCCCTAACCTGATCGGCTGTGGCAAAAGGGCTATGCCAAAGGCGGTCAAGTCCAGGACAGAGTTCCTCCCACTCAGTGGCTAAGACAGTTCCAGCTCAGCCCTGTTTCCTTGCCTCTGAGATCCCAGTAAGGCCATCTTTATTCTTTGTGATGGCCGAGAGGCGATAGCGGGAAACAGCATGAGCCATGCTAGCAGCCGATGGACGCCCCGTTGCTTCTGTTCCTGATATTAGTCATTTTAATTGGACTTGATTGTCAGGATGTTCTTGTCAGCCAACTTCTTGAGACCGATATGCAAGGCAGGACATAAATATTTAAAAAAATAATAATAATGATGCAAGCCAGGAAATTCCCTTTTCAAAAGGACACCTGACGCCAGTTGCTGTTCTCTCAGCTTGATCTGCCACTCTATGATATCCATTCCACAATATAAGCATAATTGTGGTCAACCTTACAGGCTTATGGTAAAGATTACTGCAGCAATAATGTACATTAACCACAGTCTGAGCTCCTAAAATGCATGTACATAAATGGTAAGGGTTGTTACTGATTTGTATAATATATATGCATTGCAAAATTAATCGGTTTCATGCCATGTGAACTCTGTATACATGGGTCTGCAGCAGTCTTAACCCATGATAGATGCTTCAAAGTACCAGGGCACCAAGTGATAATTGAAATCTGCATGCAATACGCATGACCGTTTACGAACATCCATCTCGAAGACCTAATTATTGAGACAAATGAAATCCATTTTCTTTATTCCTTGAGTTAATTGTATTCATTCTTCGGTGATGGGTGCAAAGCTCCAGACGCAGAAGCATCGCATTGCGATGATCCAGATTTTGGTTTCAAAGCAAGCACCGTGGCTGCAAAATAAACTTCACCTGCCACTGATGAAGCTCCTTCGAAAGCTACACCCGATGGGCTTCCTCCCAAATTCCGGGCCACGTGCGACATCACGCTGTCAACCGTTTCGACCAAAGCTCCAGCAAAGGGTGCCGTCTGGAAAGCCAAAAGCCAGGACGATGAGACGGTGAAGCAGCAAAGGAATCTGATCTCTAAAGCAAGGTGCATGCCTGATAAATTAAGTATGTCTGTTTATTGAAGGATTTAAAGCTGGCAACCCAGAGGCCAGTATATGGCTCTTTAGGTAGGCAAGCAAGGAGACGCAATCAGCTGGAAGCCTAACCTTTGCCTGAGTGACAAGTTGCTCAAACAAAGGAACTGAGCCGGAGTCATCAGCAGCCTTAGCGGTCCAGATAGGACACTATTGGCTCCCTGCGTCACCTAATCCCTATTGGGCTGTTGCCTGCAGTACCTTCATCTGAACACCTGTCGTGATGGCGCCGCTGTGCAGTAGATAAAAAACCAATAGTAGACCAAAGACCGCATGCAGAAGGGTACTGGAAGTAAGCCCTTTTGGCTTGGCCAGCAGTTCCTGGTCTGAGATCCTTACTGCCTTGTAAGCAACACTCAGCTAGGAATACATGAGGCACAGCTGCATGACGTTCGCTCTACCACACCTCGATGACTGCCAGCTAAATGGGTGAACTACCACCCCAAATTGAAAGGTGTCTCCTTATCAACTGCCTTGTTGAGACTTAAATTTCAGGTGCGGGTGAGCCAGCAGAGATCAAACATCAGAGATAGAACTTTCTGATCATCTTTGAGGGCAAACACACGTTCTGGAGCCTCGAGTCAGGGAGGGGAGGGAAAGTAACTGCAGAGGGAATTTGAAGTGGATCGGTGGTGGTTTGGGGAAAGGCTAAGCACTTCCTCTTTCCTGCTGTTTCACCACTTAAAAATCAGTTCCTCCCAAAGCAGCTTTTCTGGGGCATAAAAGAATAATAATTTCTTAGGGCTAAACCATTTGGAAGCCCCTGTGGGGAGAGGAGCATCTGCAAGGAAATCTGGAACAGAGAAATGGAAGGTAGGGAAAAGATCCTCCCTCCTGCTGTTTCTCCACTTAAAACGAACACCTCCCCAAATCACTTTTCCCTGGGGGCAAAATAGTCCATGGGGGGCTTCAGGGGTACATATTTGCTTGTTAACCAGTGTAAGCCGCCCTGAGCCTGCTGTAAAGCGGGGAGGGCAGGGTATAAACCCGATAAATAATAATAACAACAACAACAATAATAATAATAATAATAAACATGCAGTTTGGCCCACAGACATTACCTCCACAGTTTCAATCCAGCTGGGTAAAGAAAGCACATCTTCCACAGTTTGCAAGAAAGCCTATGAATAAAGAATACCCAGATCATTCCATGCCGTTGCCATTCCTCTAGCAAACAACAATCTAGGCAAGGGCTTCATTAGAGGCTGGCGGTCCATTCATTCTAAAATAATAAACACATATTCATGCACGTCACAGGGAGACAGCATCGCCTGAAGCTGGTCTCATTAGATATCATACGGTATTATTCCCAAGTAATAGAGTATTTGTAGATGCTAACATCACAATAATGTTCCCTTTATGCTCTCATCTGTTTATTTCTCTTTTCACAATGTTGAGATAAAAACTGAGCAAAAATGACTGAAGCTGGGAGAAAAATACCCCAGATTGCAATAGAACCTTGTGTGTGAGTGGATAGTGTTTTTTTTATAAGAAAAGGTAACTACACTGTCAATAGTGCATGGAAGTCTCCCTGTACCAGCATATTTTACAATATGCATCAACTATCATGGCTGACCCCTCCTTCCATACTGTGCCTTGGGAGGGGGTGCTGCTGCTGCTGCTGCTGCTGCTGCTGGGAACAGGGGATTTTGAGAGCGGTGCTTGTGGATAATGGAGTTTGGGAAGGATGTGGCATTGCTTCCAGGTAACGCTCTAGGAATTTCCCCAGCCTCTATGGTAAAAACCATATAGATGTGGGAAAATTCCTAGAATATCACTAGATGCAATTTTCTGGCCATTTGTTTTTCCTCTTATGCCTCAATTTCTCAAGGGTGGAGCACTGGGGCTGAGGGCAGGGGTTCATCCAGAGCAAGCTGGCTCTGCTGAACAGATAGATCAGGCACAGATCAGTAGATTTCCAAAATCAAACTGGAGAAAAACAAGGCATAAGTATCCACATAAATAAACCAACACTGTGCCAGAACTTAAAGCTATCTCACAATGGTAGTAGCCAATGTCAGGGCAGACAGCACCACATGTCCTAATGGGTATTATTCTCTGTGCAACTTTACTTGATTTCATTGATATCAGTTGGATTGACTTTTGGATAAGCGTGATCCCAACATAGGTGCAAGCCAACATACATACATTGCCCTCACCAACAAAAAATGACGCCTCCCCGACCCCAACACACCCTACTTAATCAACTTAAGCAGAAGTCAATATGAACATCTATGTTCATTTCATCCCATGTACATTTTTATGTTGCCCTGTTGAGAATAAACACAGAAACAGTGCTAGGAGGCAACTTCAGAAGACTTCTATGCCCTGTTCGTTGGTTACTGGCCCTCCTCCCTGGTTCTGGTATTTTCTGTGAGTTTTTATTGAATTATTTTATAATTTTTAATGTTTTTATGTGTGCCATTTTGTGGATCCTGAACAGGTGGAAAGGTGGCATAAAATTCTTTATGTAAATAAGTAAATAAAACACATCCTCGTTCCCTGAAAATTCAGAATGCATTTAAGGTGCACACAAAAACAAAAAAGGAGGGAGGGATTCTATTTTCCTTTTATCTGAGCGTATAACCTCCAGGCCCACCGCCGCCACCATTGCTTCTGGCTTTAAGCATCACATTTGCTGTCAGAATCACACAACTGATTACTGTCACAACAATGATCGCTTAAGGCCAGCATTAAAAAGGGAATAATCTGCCTGCCAAGACCATCAAAGGCAGAGTTTTGTTAGCAGAACGTGACTTCTCAGCCTCTGGCTAGCTCAGACCCTGCGGGCAGAATGCGGACTGTAAAACACAAAGCAAAGAGGAAGGACAAAATGTGGGAGGCTTTCAGCTCAGCGAAATGACGGGGCTGATACTGGAACATACCTGCAAGTCAGCAAAAATTCTGCCTGAGTGGTGGCAATAACAACAACAAAAAAAGACCTGGGAGATTTGCTGGGCTCGTTCGCAGCCACGTCCGACCTGTTCGCCCAAAAGCATAAGGCTTCTGTGAGAAGCGACGAAAATTGCTCCCCTCGGCCTCTTCAGAGCTGCCAGCCCCAGTTTGCAAATCTTTTCCTAGATAAGCTTCAGTCTTTTATTTATCAACAGAAAATATTTCTAAGCCTGTTTCTCAACTAAGGTTCTCAAAGGCATTAGATGGGCTTGCCACCCTCCAGCTGACAGCTGGAGCTCTCCTGCAATTACAACATATCTCCAGGCGACAGAGATCCGTTCACCTGGAGGAAATGGCAGCTTTGGAAGGTGGATTCTATGGCACCATGCCCCATGGAAGTCCTTCCTCTCCCCAAACCCCACCCTCCCCAGCCTCCACCCCCCAAATCTCCAGGTATTTCCCAACCCAGAGCTGGCAAGCCTCTGTGGGTAACAAAATACCGTTATACAAGATGGAGTTCAAACAATATCCACATTTTAAAAGATTTATCCCCCAGCTGCCACCAGAAACAGGCACAAAGTGGTGGTGGAAACTGCCGTCGAGTCACAGCTGACCTATGGTGGGTGACTCCATAGGGTTTTCAAGGCAAGACACAGCCAAAGGTTGTTCGCCGTTGCATAGCAACCCTGGGCTTCCTTGGTGGTCTCCCATCCAGGACGGACCCTGCTTAACTTCCGAGATCTGATGAGATCGAGCTAGCCTGGGCCATCCAGGTGAGGGCAAAGTACAATTATGCGAGATGGAGTTTTAACAGTGCCCACATTTTAAAAGATGTATCCCCAGCTTTTGGGTGGTAGTTGCCACCAGAAACAGGCACAAAGTAATCGGTTGCAATTAAAGTGTGTGTTTTACGTAATTAGCAATCAAATTTGGTTAATTTAGGCCCCGGTCACACGGGAGGATTTGATCCGCAAGAGGGACGGATCGGGGGCGTATCAAGCAGGCGCGATCACACCACAACTACTGGGAAGCGGCGCGCACCCGTCCCCAATCCATCTCTTCCAGCCGAAGATGTGGAGTTAAAATAAACCTGCAACGCACTACTACCTACCGGAAAATCCGCGGCACAGGCGGCCGTGTGATCGCCGACACGCCCGTCTCCCACAGCATGCGAGGCCCCTTGCCGAACTGCGCAGGCACACACATGCACAGCTGACTCGCCTCGCTCTCCTGTCCGTGGCTTCCCCCTCGCATCTGATCGCGCTGGGGAGCATATGCGCGGCGGCTCGGGGGATCTGTCTGATCCCGCTGCCGCGTTTCTCTTTTGCTGCGGCTCTAAAAAGCCGCACTTCCGCCCCAGCTTTTCCTGCAGTGTGACCGGGGCCGTACAAAGCAGAACTAGATTTTACAACATGGAAAAAGGCAACTCTCTGGAAATGGTTATCTAGGATGACCAGATGTCCTCTTTTTAGAGGACACGTCCTCTTTTTTGTGTGTGTCCGTCTTCTTTTGGGCTCTTTAAAAAAAAAACTGATGGAAGCGACCTCTGTTGGGATTGGAAGGTTAGTTAGTAGCAATTACCACAGGTTAAATATTAGGGGTATTTAAAATTAAATTTGTCATAGTGGCCACTTGTTAGAAGGAGTCAGTTGTGAAATATATCCTCTCTTTAGCTATTCAAAATATGGTAACCCTGGGCTATTGAAACAAAATTCTGGTTACAGTGCAACCCTCCCCAAAGACCAATCGAAAAGCTTCCCTCAGAGGAGCATGTCTTCAACCTCTGTCTTCACACAGGAGCAGAATGTACAAAAAAATGTTACTAGCACACCTGCCCCTGAGTACCACCATTAAGTAATCTGTGGTGTACTGGCAGGCAGCCTGGGGAAAAAGCACCGCTTCGTAATACATTTTACAAAAATACTCCCTCTTTCCAAAGGAAATACCTTCTTCCCTCCTTTTAACCATTTTTCTTAATCCACCAGTCCCCTCGGCCAGCTCTGCCAACAGCCATACATCTAGTAATATATATTTAACCAATATATGAAGAATATTTACCTCAATATATTGACTGATGAAGGAAATTTTCCACAGTGAATTGACTGAGTAAATTGACTGACTTTCCTCAGGAAACCAAGTAATAGATGAAGGAAATTTACCTCGTAAAACTAACAGCTCTTAGTAGGTCCGAACGTTCCTCTGTAATAGGGCAGTCCTAAACAGACTTACACCCTTCTAAGACCACTGATTTCAATAGTCTTAGAAGGGTGTAATTCTGTTTAGGGTTGCACTCTAAATGAAGTAACAGATGAAGAAAATATTCCTCAGTAAATTGACTAGCATCTCTTCATAAATCAAGTAACGGATGGTGGAAATGCCCCTCAGTAACTGAACTAACAAATAAAAGTAAATTTACCTCAGTAAGATTAAAGGCGGTCTCTGCTGAGAGTGATTCATTGGGTAAGGCAAGGGAAATGTTTTCCAAGTAGTCCAGCATGGCACCAGGGTAAAGGAAGTTTCCTCTCTCCTCCGTAAGGTTAACTATGATGGGTCGGTAGGCATTTCTGGATGGCTGGAAGATTGACACAGTATCTCACCTTTCCATGTCAATGGTCAACACAATATCTTCTCAATACTGAGACGCACTCAACAAATGCAGGAGGCAAGTGTCTTATTCTGAGAAACAAGTGTCTTATGCTGAAATAACTGGATAACCCTGTGAAATTTCACAGATCAGTTTATGCCCTGACTAATGCAACCTTGTGGTCTCCAGCCTTCCCTTGTTAGACCTTCAACATTTTATCCACTGATTAAAATAATTTCCGTCTCATTGCTCAGCTGTGCAAAGCCTCTCTTCAAATCCCTGCACAGATTTCCCCATCCACTTCCATATCCTGCATAGATTCCCCCATCCCCTTCCATATGCAATACACGTAACTTTGAAAGCTTTCCACGACTAAGTTGCATTCTATCTGTCTACGCATCTCTTGTCATCTTCTTGCCAGTAGGGTTGCCAACCTCTAGGCGGTGCCTGGAAATGTCCCAGAATCAGAACTCATCTCCAGGCAACATAGATCAGTTCCCCTGGAGAAAATGGCTGCTTTGGAGGAGGAGGAGGAGGAGATTGGATTTATATCCCACCCTTCACTACCCAAAGAAGTCTCAGAGCGGTTTACAATCCCTTTCCCTTCCCCTTCCCACAACAGACACCCTGTGAGGTACTTGAGGCTGAGAGAGCGCTCCCGAGAACTGTCCTTGAGAAAACATCTCTGAAAGAACTTATGACTGACCCAAGGTCACCCCGGCAGCTGCATGCGGAGGAGTGGGGAATCAAACCTCCCAGATTAGAGTCCACGCTCTTAACCACTACACCAGAGTGGCTCTCTGCCCTCTTTGAGGGTAGACTCTATGGAATTGTACCCCACTGAAGTCCTATTCCTCCCCAGGCTCCACCCCCAAAATCTCCAGGTATTTCCCAACCCAGAGTTGGCAACCCTACTTACAAGAAACGTTTGTACCTTCAGTTGTTAGGGTTGCCAACTCTGAGTTGGGAAATACCTGGAAACGTTGAGGGTGGAGCCTGGGGGCGGACCCCAGTGGGGTCTAATGCCACAGAGTCCACCCTCCCAAGAAGCCATTTTCTCCAGGGGAAACTGATCTCAGTTGCATGGAGATCAACTGTAATTCCAGGAAATCTTCAGGCCCCACCTGGAGGTTGGTAACAGTATTGGTTGTATGACCCTGCCAAGTGACCATGATTCTCTTTGTTCTTTAAAGGCCCTGCCCAGTCACCACTGCTGTCCCTTATGCCTGGAATTCTTCCCCAAACTGCCAACGTGGAACTATTTCAGTCTCCCCAAATCTCCTCTGTAAAAGAAACCATCTTTTTCATGGAGCCTTATGGCTTAAGCCCTCAAGGAAAGCACCGACGAATGCAACAAAAGCTTAAGTATGTGCTGCTGCATTTATTCATATCCATCCCTTGTTAACCTTGGCATTCTCCCTCCACACTGGCTCCTTCCTCTACCTATTCTCTCCTCCATTAAATTTTAAATTGTCATATCCTCTGGGCAATGACCTGGGTATTTTTTATGCTGAAGCGTGATTCCCCCATGGATGATGCTATCTAAAATGATGATGGGTACTCCAAGGCAACATTTCCATCCCTGGCATCAGTCTCGGGATGGCCTCCCATTCTGTTATTTTCCACATGGAGATCGATGTCTCCTCAATGCACCTTTTCTCAGTATATTATTTTGGTTGTGTGAAGCGCTACAGCCCAAGAATATTAGAAGGGCCTTGGCAGGTCAACCAAGGTCTGCCTCATCCAACCATCTATTGCCAAGAAAATGTCAACCACAGCCAAGCAAGGCATAATGGTTTGCCCTCGTTAGCTCTCGTCGTCAGCATCCAACATTCAGCCTCTTGAGCGATCACAGCTGATAAAATCATCCCATTCCTCTGTAACGTGCAAGGGGCCACAGAAGGCCATGAAGCCGCAGACCTTTGGGAAGCATATTTAAAATTGCTGCAGTGCGCTGCAACTTGGGCCCACGGTGAAGAGCACTCACCAAACAGCCATTAAGTTGCAGCTCGCTTCAACGAAATGATCTTGAGAACTAGCAATGAGTGAAAGAGGTTTTAACAAAAACAAATACCTAAGCATTTCACCTAGACCGAGTGAAAATTGCTTCCTTTCTCATTCTGACTAAACACACTTGATAACAGCTACGTCAAAATCCCATTAGTTTTCATCTTGTTCGTTTCAGACTTGAAGGGCGTGAGTTGAATTCCTGATGTGTCGGCAGGGAGGGCGAGGCAATCATTCCAGCAACACACTTGTTTGTGATACAAGTTAAATTGGCAGCTTTACTCTCTTTTTTAAATCCCTGTTACAAACAATAATGTAGGTGGTTGAAGTTCTCTAAAGTAGTCGTCCCTGATGTAGCGCCTGGGGGCACCGTGGCATAACCTTATGGGTTCCCTGGTGTCCATTTACACATCTTCAACAAATCATTTCTTCTCCAAAGCAACGAGTCAATCCAAGCTTTCTTCCACCTCACAGGAATACGCAGCACTTCAGAGGAACTCAGCAGGCAACACATTTATGTCTCCAGGGAGCGCCCATTCAAAAACAGCTGCCATTGTAGGATGATGCTTGACTTACAACCTCCCAGAGTTTTGTAACTGGCCTTCCCACCTCATGGCAGCCATTTTGTGACTGCTTCCTGAGGGCACCCATTTTTTAGTGGTGCCCACTTCTCATTCTCAAAATCCCAAAAGTGCATACAGGCCGAACAAAATAGAGGATCCCTGCTCGAAAGCCTGAGATTTACGAGGGGGGTGCTAATTTATATGTATCCCAGTTCCCTTTCCCCTCCCATCTGCAGTCCAACCAAGCCATTAGGCATGCTACAGTGTGACCCCCCACCATATCAAAAGTAGGCTTACCGGGCTCTGGTTAGGGGCAGGGAATCTCCCACCTCCAGCTCCTGTTTCCTGCCACTGTTTCTGCAGCCAGTGGGGAAAAACTAATGTTTCAAAAAAGTTGTTGGCAACAGCATGACATCATCTCCAGTCAATCCTCTCTAGGAATCACCAGAAACTCTATGGTTTTACCACCAAGTTTCCAGTGATTCCTAGAGAGGTGTGATTACTTCTGGGCTTTCCAAAATGGTTTTTCTCAGGGTGTGTGGAGTTGCAGAGAGGAGGGGTAAGAAAATTCTGTGTGCCCAAACCAATAGGTTAATTTTTCATAAATCGATCAAAATCTTAGGATGGCAACTTTTTTCATTATATACAACCATCAGTAAAGAGACAGCTTTTCAGGACATTGCCTACCATTGGAACTGTTTCCGTTGCTTGCTGGCCCCATGGAGCTGTCGAAGAAAGCAAAGGTTGATCACCTAGAAAAAACATTCACATGAATTGTCCCTTCACCTTAAACCATTGGAGTACATGATCTACAAACCACGGTAAAAGCTGGAGAAGTCAAGAACTAACCCACTATCAACAGACATGCATACTGCAGTGTGCGATGACTTTCCTATTTACACACATTGTTTCCCTGCCAAGTGAACAGATATGCATTGATGCCAGAGTACCTAAGCACCAGGTCCGTAGCCAGGATTTTTTTTTATTCGGGGGGTCTTTAAATAAGTCAGGGGGCATTCCACAGGCACCCCTGCTGCACATACACCCCTAAGGGAGCACCTGGGCTGGATGGGGAGTCAGGGGGCCTAGGAAGTAAGTCAGGGGGCCAGGCCCCGAGATGCCCCACTGTAGCTACAGGCCTGCTAAGCACACTAGGTATCTTTAAGAGTGTCCCCTTCGTTATGAGCCACTCTGCACATTAAGCTCTTTGTACTCTTGCCTGGTGCATACATAACACTATCTCCTTGCAAACCATCATTTGCAAGCTGACAACCAGTCACAAGAATATTTCCCATACCACCACCACCACCCAAGCATGAATCCCACCCTACCTCCGTCTGAAAGCTCAGCATTATATCTGCACCAAAGTTATTAATGCAAATCAAGTCTTCCCATTTTAACTGGAGTCTGAAATCAGTATCTGAAGTGGGTTTGCAATCCAAGATTTACACCTCGCAGCTTGCTAGAATGGGTGGTATTTCCACTTACCAACAGCGGCTGTAAAATACTGCTCAACTTCCTTAGGTGTGAGCACTCTTTCCCATATGATAAATTCATCAAAAACCCCATTAACATAACGTCCAGTCTGGTCACCCTCTGATCCCGTCAACATATTTGAGCTCGAGTCCGCGTAACTGTAGGAAACTTTCCCGTTAGGGTCAGTGGTATGTAAGGTTCCGTTGACGTACACTTTCAAACCATCCTGAGACTTCCAGGTGAAGAGAACATGAGTCCAGTAGGGACCTGAAAAGAACAGCAAATCAGTGGAGATCATAAGGTTCTGTGAATTCGCTGACACAAATCAAAATCCCCATCTCAGAAGTAATCAAATTTTGGAGGGGGCGGCGGCGTGGGAATCCATAATTTACCACTCCTTTAAACACTTAGTATAAAAATTGGATTTAGTATATATTAAGAGTAAACTAAGATCTGATAGAATGAAGTAATAGAAGCCTGCGATCAGGAGTTCCCAACGTGATATCCGCAAGTGCCGTGGCACCTGCTGACACCTCTTCTGGCATCCACCAAGTGTTTTTCGAAACTGGACATAGCCAGGGGTGGCTACTGCCCCGCCGGGCTTCTGATTAGTATTGGGGACCTGATTGGTTGTGCAGATTAAAATAATGTTCTTTCAGCACAAACTTCCACAGTAGTGTTACTTTTATTCTCTCTCTCTCTCTCTCTGTCTCTGCTTTCCCAGTGTATTTTTTTTAATTACTCTTCTTCTCCCCTGTATTTGGACTTCCTCTGTGTGTGTGTCTCTCTCTCTTCCTCCTGCAGTGGCCATTTTGTCACTGGCTCCACCTCCCACAGCAACCATGTTGTGGTTGTGCCCACCACCTTGTGTCAGTATTCCCAAGATGCCCACAGGCTCAAAATGGCTGAGGACCCCTGCATTAGACCACAGAATAAGATATACTAGGGCATACTGTTTTTAAACCTCCCATGCATAAAACCCTCTTTAAAAGCAAAAAAGAAAAAGCACACCAGGTTGGGAAGGGTCTAGCCCTGTTGCACTAATTTTCTTCTTGCAGTGAGTTGCTTAAAGAGAACAGCATACATAAACAGGGTCCTCCGTCTGCAATCCATGGGAAACAGCCTGTTTTCCCACCTCAGAACGCCAGCAGCCCGTTTTACTGCTAGCACAGATCGCCACATCAAAATGAGGTGCGCAGCCAAAAAGAAGTGTTTTAGTGTCAAACAAGTGAGAAGCTAGAGCTTATCTTCTTTTTAAACATCACCTTCTGCTCTCCCTTCTGTTCCCTGATCGGTGAGGGCGGATGTACTTAGCTCAGGCATCCATTGCCTACCTTGATCCATCCAGGCTTAAGCCTAGGCAGCATTGTAAACAGATGCTGCGGCTGACTCCAGAGCAGCCTCTTAAAACCTCAGGGGGAGGGCGGGGCAGGGGGAGGCAGGGCACAGCCAGGGAAGGTATTGGCTCAGATTCCCTCCACTCACCTTGAGTCCACCCCTGAAGAGAGGGCATTGGAGGAGTCCAGCATCAGCCCATCTCCAAGGAATCTTTTATTAGGCTGGCCCAGGGAAGGCCAAGGAGGAAGGGCCAGACAAAACCCAAGAATCCATGAGAGAGGCAATTGACAGGAGAGAGGGGGTGGGGGATCAGGGTTAAAGAATCTCTCTCACACACACACACACACGCCCTATTCTGAGGTTCTTCCTGGGGCAGGACCGATAAAACAAAACCCTGTCAGATGCTACAGCCCTGAACTCCGTCCCAGCTCTGACCCTCAGGTTGTAGCATACAGACTAAAATACATACAATTTATTAAGAATATCCCAATCTAATAACAAGCTTCCTGCATCCATTATCTGTGCTCATCTCTAAGAAACTAACCATTCTGAAAACCCTAGATTTACCTGATGGGATGAAACTTGCCTCCCATTTCCACGAATGCTGATGGTTATACAGTTCCACGGATCCTTTGCCTTCACTGAAGGAGATCTTGAACCCATTGGAAAGTACCTGATCGCCATATGCTGGGGGAGAATTGGGTTGTTGTGTCTTTGTCTTCCAGAAAAAAGAGAATGTTACACCTAGCAGAGGAAACAGAGAGAGAGGGAGGAGGGATTGTCGATGAGAAGATGGACCTGGAATTTAAACTCTTTGCACATTTGCCAAGATGTCCAATTACTGCAGCCAAGAGCGTGAGACTCTCTTCCATTTATTTTACTTTCTTTCTTAATCAAAGCACCTTACAACAACATACATTTTATTATAAACTATTAAAGCAACAATTAATAAAACAACAACAGCAGAAATTTAAAAAAAACAGCAGAATACAAAGTACATTAAACAACTTTGGAAAGCAGATTTTTTTTAAAAAAAAAAATGCCATAAGATCTATTAGAGTATTTCAACAGGCAATTTTTGTGGGTGATAAAATTTTAGAAGGTGGCACGGAAAGGGCATGCAACATAAGTCCCTGTGACTGGCAGAAAGTAAGAAGTTCCTGATTTGCCCCAACCTGCAATAAATATCAGCAGCATGACCCTCCTTGTGGGCCAATAAGACACTACCTTCTACTTGCTGAACTTGGAATTCACTGTCAGCAGATGTAGTGAGGGCCACAGGCATAGACAGGTTTAAAAGAGGATTAGACAGATTCATGGTGGAGAGGTCTATCGGTGGCTACTAGCCATGGTGACTAAAGGAAACATCCACATTTAGAGGCAGTAAACTTCGGAATACCGGTTCCAGGAGGCAACACCCGTGAAAAGCCTCAGCCTCTGTTCCATGTTGTTGGACAAGAGGCACAGCAATAGAATCTAGTGACACTTCAAACCAGGGGTCCCCCCCAATGTGGTGTCTGTGGGTGCCAGGGTTCCTACAAACACCTTTCCTGGTACCCACCAAGAGTTTTTAGAAAGTGGGTGGGACCAGGTGGGGCTTTTGTCCACCAAGGCTTCTGATTGGCCATTGAGGATCTGACTGACTGCAGATTTTTAGAAAGTGGGTAGGGCTAGGTGGGGCCTTGGTCCACCAAGGCTTCTGATTGGTCACTGAGGATCTGATTGACTGCAGATTTTTAGAAAGTAGGTGGGGCCAGGTGGGGCTTTGGCCCATCAAGGCTTCTGATTGGCCACTGAGGATCTGATTGACTGTTCAGATATTTAAAAATATTGTGTTGGCAACAACTGCCACCACACCATGAGGATCAAAAAGATTGGAGACCTGTGCCTTGAAGACTAACTCATTTATTACAGCATAGGCTTTGTGGATTAGAACCCCTAATTAAGTAGTCCATCCAATGATAACCTTAAGGGTTAGTGCGAATGCACTGTGTTAACATCCAAGCCTACCTTTTGTCCACACAACCAACCAAGATCACAATGATCATAAAACGACTTAGTTTGCTTTTTTTTTTTGCCTAAAATACTCTAGAGAAAGAGGTACGTGTAACTTAGAAGCTTGAATCATCTTGAAATTAATAGTTCATCCAAAAAGGAGGGGTGAAAACATCCACACAGCCGTCAACAAACCTTTTAAGATTTTGATACTGAGTAAGGACACTCACTTTCCCCTCAGTTTTGGATTCATCTTTCCCCCTCTTATGCTCCAGCTTTTTATAACTTCAGTTTTGCTGCTGTAGCTCTTGATTTACCGCATGCTGTTGTTTTTTTACTGCTGATGGTTTGAATTTATTGTTTCTATTCTTTTTTTAAAAAATATATCATATTGATTGTTTTTTTTCCGTTGCTGTCGTTGTCACTGTTATTGATTTTTTAAAATTACATTTTATCCCATTCTTTCCCCATGAAGCTTGGGCCAGTTCACATGGTTCTCCCATCCTCCATCGTCTCCTCACAATGCTGTGAGGTAGACTAGGCTAAGCGAGTGATCATCTAGTGAGATTAGTGACTGAGTGGATGTTTGAACCCGGGTCTCCCCCAGCCTAATCCAACACGCTAACTCAGGGATGGCCAAACTGTGGCTCGGGAGGCACATGTGGCTCTTTCACACATATTGTGTGGCTCCCGGCAGGGCGGCTATGGAAGTGAAGGGGAGGCATACCTCCCCGATCGGTCTTCCCTTCCCCAGCCAGTGTTCCCCTCCCTGGGTAGGGTTGATGGGAGGGCAGAGAAAGAAAGCAACTTTAACTTGGAGAAGGCATTTGTCTTTTTAAATCTTATCTCCAAACCAAACTAACTTGTGTGGGGGCGGGGGGGGGACAGCTTAGAAGATACATTTAAAGTTAAAGTTGCTTTCTTTCCACCTCTTTCTCCCTCCCTCTTTCCACTTTCTTTCCACCTTTCTTTCTTTCGCTGTCTCTTTCTCCCCCCATTCCCCATCTAAAGTTATCAATCTAATGTTAATAAAAAAACAAATCTGCATGTTTTTCAATAAAAACGTGTATGTAATGTTTGTTCATGTCTTGCGGCTCTCAGGCATCTGATGTTTATTCTATGCGGCTCTTACGTTAAGCAAGTTTGGTCCACCCCTGCTCTTACCATTATACCACGGTGCTCTGACTGAGGCATGGGCACCCCCTCCATTCCAAGATGAGGCACCTGGAAAGGAACCCCACAGTCCATCTCATATCATCCCTGCACAGAGGTAAGACTTTCCACACTTGTTCGCCTAAGCTGATTTGGGAAGTGGCGTTGTCGAGAGAGGGACAGATGTGATTTACAGAAACAAAACCAGCCTGATTTGTTTATAGAGTTCTTAATTCCATTTCCCTCTGAACATCTTGAAGATAAATTCGGCGTAACAAAAGCCTGAGCCCTGTGCTGATGATCAGATGAGCTGAGCTTTGGGGTTCCTTTCCCCAGGATTCCACTAGAGGGTGAGCGGGGAGCAGAATCGACAACTCTGGCGTGGGAAATTCCTAGAGATCTTAAGGGCGGAGCCTGGGACAGCTGCATTTGAGGAGGGGCGGGAACTCAGCAGGGTATAACGCCCCCCCCCCTCCAAAGCAGCCATTTTCTCCAAGGGAACGGATCTCTGTAGTGTAATTCCAGGAGAGCACCAGGTCCCGCCTGGAGGTCGGCAACCCCTGTGGAGATCCCTTGCCTTCGGTCAACACAATTATATGCACACGCTGACTGATCTTTTCTTTATTTGATTCTGAACCAGTCCTTTCTGCCAAAGGGGAAGGCGTGGTTTTTCCAGCATTGTTTGCTATTATTTTAGGCCTGCTGAGCTCGGTGTTATAGCTGGTGGGGGAAAGCAGACTGTTGCACTTGGAAGCGAGAGCCGTCAGGGCCGACTATGGCTGCGGCACTTTAAATCCTCTGGTCTCTGTCCAACCACAGTCCTGGACGGCTAAATTCGCCCCTTGGTTTTTTCTCTCTCCTTGTTTATGTACTACACAGATGGGCAAGCCTTTGAAGAGCTGACACTGTGTATGAATGGGGCTTTCTTGGGTCAAAGCCATTGTCAATGTACATCAGTGGCTTTCCGTGCCTTCTGGCGGTCCCTGTTTATCAGGGACAGTCCGTGTTCTCTGGCTATCAGTATCTCTTGGGAGATGGCTTTTGAAGCTTTTGTGCACGGGCCAGAAAATGCATGAATATGGAATCTGAATGCATTAATTCCATTTCACTCCACACCCACACATGTTTCCCTGTAAGAACGCAAGAGCAGTTGTGCTGGTTCAGACCAAAGGTCCATCTTCTAGTCAAACATCCTGTATTACATAATATGCAACCAGATTTATTTATGTGTTTGTTAAAATGCTACCACCGATCATTCCAGGCAAGAAAGGGTGCTGAATGTGTTTTGAGTGGCCACCGTTTTATCACAATCAATTCCACAGCGGGAGATTAAGTGTTCTACTGGACAATTTTTTTTTAAAGTAAACCAGGACAGGTCAATTTACTCACATGCCCAGACTAACATGCCCAGTTGAATTGTGAGAATTGCAGGCACACCTCCAGTCAACTCTGTGATTTAACAAGGAGTATGGGACAATGCTTAAGACAAGGGTAATCAAACTCCTATCTGATCTCAGCCTTGTCTTTCAGTCTAACTCACTCGGAGTCCTTGAGATGAAAGCAGCAACTGGTTACATACTCCTGAAAGTTGTAGGTCCCAGAGTGTGTTCGCTGTACCCAGTAAGCACGATTGTCAACCCCTGCTAATTATACTAGAATCCATTGCTCTGAGTGAATCACACCCAGTAAAGATACCCAACACAATTACACACTCCCAGCGGAGGATGATTGGAAGGACAAGTCCAGAGCAGCGACACTTAAAGAAATATTACAGACAGGCTCTTCTGAAGGGAGCTAATTCGGCAGCATTTCATTCACACAATACTAAGATCTGGCAGAACGATCTATCCCTAGTCGTGCACTTTGCATAGCCTAGCAGGGGCCACTCTGTTGAATTCTGACCCGTGAAACCTGGGTTCTAATCCCTGCTCCACTGTTACTCGAACAACAAAGGATAAAATGAAAATAAGGGAGCCCTATGTTTGCTGCCCTCAGATCCTTGGAAGAAGGGTGGGATCAGGGGTCATTTCCTGCAGGAGCGCACAGGAGCGGAGCTCCGGCAGTAAAGAACCCAGGGGACGGGCACATGCAACAAGCCCCACCCCCTGCTCCCAGCAGCCCTCAGTACAATAGAGTTTGGATTTCAGAAAACTAGCAGAAATCTGAAACAGAGATGAAAGAACTTGAAACAAAGTGTAAGAAGTCTCACAAAAAACCTCGCCCCCAGGCTTTCTCTGTGTTCGACTCATGGCCATTTACCCTACAGTTATCTCTGTTTATCTGTTGTTTTCTGCACTCATTTTGTCCCGCTCCAGTTTGCTTGCCTGCCCCGGGTTATAAATTCTGTATTGCAAACAGGGGTGTTTGTCCTAGATGGCGGGAAAGGGGCAGGGAGGATCAAAACCAAGTAAAACATTCTACACTGAAGTCTGCACTGGGGCCACTCCAGATCGAGGGAGAGCCCACAGCAAAATAAGGTCCGTATACCCCCGGGGGCGACGGCGGTCTGAACCCAGGGTGACCACAATGTAATGCAGAATTGGCCAAAAGAATGGGATAAAAAGAGGGAATGAACTTGAGTGTCGTGCAGAATAGCT